GGTCGAATATTTCAAGAACTTTTTATTATGGGGATCAGATAAAGACGAAACAAATATAATATGCTTTGAAATATTAAGAAATGCAAGGTCTATAGTAGTTTTGGAAACATCTAAGTTACGATGCCGTATTTTAAAAGTTTTTGTCAACAATCGAAGCTTTCTGTGTTTTTCATGAGCATATGTATGTTATATGCTATATGCTATATGCTAGTTCCATTGGAACCAATTGTAAAGGAGGGATGTCAATTTTTGTTAGTCAATATCAAGGTATGAAATAAGACTTGAGACAAAATGCGTAAATTCATTATTATAACCCTATATATATATATATATATATATATATATAGAGAGAGAGAGAGAGAGAGAGAGAGGCGAGTTACGTTGCTAACCGTTCAATTCATGAAAACTATACAAACCACTTTTGACCAATAGAAAAATTCCGTTTTTTTATTTAATTTTAATAATTAAGGGTATAATGGTCATTTCATCATATATTGATTAATATTGAAAGGTAATAACTTCTATTAATTATGAAAATGTATTAATGGAAACGTTTCATATGTAATGAGGTAAATCTTTTTTCTTAATATAATTTTTTTATCATTAATTTTTTTATTATTTTATTAAATTATACTTATTAAAATAAGAATTATAAAAGCAGTAAAATATGAAATCTGTGTTCGTTTCATTTCTTGAAACAGTTTCATTTCTTTATTTAATGAAACAGTTTCATTAACGGTAATTGAATTAGTATTGAAACAAAAAATAATGAAACAGTTTCATTTCTTGATTTAATGAAACAAAATCTTTGCTTTAGTATTCAATGTTTCATTATATTTTGTTGATTATAATATGTTTTATGTTTTATAATTTATTAGGATATATCTAATTCATTGTAGGTGACAAGAAATGAAACCGTTTCACCCTTTATAGAACGAACTCACATGACTCCTTGTCACCTACAATGAAAGACGGACCGGTTGTCATGTAGTGTTGAACGATAATTGCAAACTATTTCATTAACGGTTATTGAATTAGTATTGGACTATTAATAATTTCTAATCAAAATAATTTTAAAACAAGGGAAATTCTAATAAACGATGAAACATATAAAGAATGAAACATTTTTAAAATTTTAATAAAACATTTTGAAAACTGAATATTTTTTAATTTAATGAACGTTTTTCATGTATAAAACGTTCCAAAATATTAATAAATTAAATTCATCAGTGAAATTGTGTCAATGGTCACTATTGAACATGATATTCGTTTTATTACTCAAAGTACATATATAAGTATAATTTAATAAAATAATAATAAATATTAATGGTAAAAGAATATATTAAGAAAAAAAGATTTACCTTATTCCATAAGAAACGTTTCCATTAATACATTTCTATAATTAACAGTAGTTATTACAATCGAAAACAAAATATAAAATTTTAAAATGGTGTTAAAAAACATTAATATGAGATGACATAAATTGATTTAGATAGTGTTACTCGGAAATACAAGAATTAATTTTGTGACCCCAACTGATGTCATTTTATCTATCAAAATATATCATATGATGTTTTTAATGATGGAACAAAATGACAGTGCTACATAGATATGTTCTAGTAGATAATATTAATTTAGAAATGATTATTGATTGATTTTGTGTCTAGATATGTTCAGAAAAAAAAAGGTTTTATATAAATTCAATGTTATTTCTAATAGCAAAAAAACATATTAAAAAAATATCGTACTCATCGAGGGCCCCTTTTCATATCTCGTCCAGGACCTAGAAATTGTCAGGAACGGACCTGTATCAACCAACATACTGTTGCAAGTTTTTATATATGTATATATATTTACACACACATATATATATATATAGTGTATATATATATATATATATCAATATATTATATATACATATTAGTTAGAGTATTAGTGCCTATATATATTTATATATGAATAGGATGCACAAGACAACTTCCACCTGAGTGGTTCTTTTTAGTCACTTTTGTTCATCACTCGATCGCCATTGGTTGATGGCAAGTGCAAACCTATTTGGGGCCATATGCGGTGGTCCATGTCTCATAGTTTCATCGTAATAGTAAAAATTTACATTGCTACGTACAGTCTCTCACTTTAATGCTTCGTTGCATTCCCCCATCAAACTAAATCTAACTATAACATCAATTTATGATCACTAACTTGGTCTATGGTGTTATTAGATTATATATATAATATATATATATATATATATATATCAAACTTTTTGTTTTTCAACTTTTAATTTATAATGAGTTTCTTTACTTCTCAAATATTTACCACTTCTCAAATTAACATTTTTCTATATATACTATCTTATTAAGCAAATTTAACAAAAGTCTTAAAGTCTTAAAATACTAAATGACCAAAATACCCTTTATACTAACTTTATGTCACTTTTACACCCCCTCCTCTCCTCACATACACCCATCCTCTCACAACCGATTTTTTTAAAATTATAATTTTAAATTTACATTTTATACCCCATAATTAATTAATTAATTAATTTACTTTACGTTCTTTACTTTTAAATGTTTCATTTTAAACTTTTATCAAATTAACATACATAATCGTATATCAATTAAAAAATGTTTAAACGAAACATTTTTATTTTAACAAGTTACTATACACCATTATAATCGTCTCGTTAATAACTTCGAAATGAGTTCAATATTGAATAGTTTTTTACTTAATTATATTATTATTTATTATATATACCGTGAAAAAATATTTATAATATTTACGATTTATATTTTTATAGTTATTTATTTATATATATACTATATATTTTGGGGTTAGGCTGTCCAAATTGCACTGTATAATATGTTCTGAATTAATATGTTCTTGGTTTTTTTTTTGAAATATATATATATATATACATGTATTAATTCAACCTTAATATGAGTTTATGGACAAGAAAGAGGGTAATCAGCTGAAATTTCATTCTAAAATCCATTTTTTTTGGTTTTTTCATGGCTTATGATCTCTCAAATTTGTAGTTTTCTTTATTGGTTTTGAGTGTTTATCTTAAAATTCAAGTTTATTGGTTCTTTGCTTTTGGTGTAAATCGAACACATTTGTGGAGTCGTTTAAATATGTTGGATTTTAAATATATTGGATTTTAAACTGCCATACAATTTTTTTTCATCGATAGTCTGTAATTGGAACCATAACTCTTATTTATTCAAATTGTATTAATATGTAAAGACCAATGGTAACCTATATAATCGTTAAATCTTATCTTATAAAATCAGTGAAACTTCAAAATCGTTAAAATTCATGGCTCCCGCCGCATTGCGCGGGTACACAACTAGTATGTATATATATATATATATATATGGATCTATTCAAGAAAGAATTGACCTCACAGTTACCACAAACTAATTAGTTCTCATTTGATTAGACCCATATATATAATTTTTTTTTGTTTTTTGTCTTTTAATTTATAATGGATTTTCTATAGGTTTTGGCTTTTTTTAAAACTAGTTGGAGAGTTGGTATTGATGGAGGAATAGAACCTATGACCCTTGTTACCATTGCAAGCAAGCAATCTATAGCATTCACTCTTAATACCGTCATCAGTTGAAAAAAATTGAGTTTTCCTCTCGTTCATGGTTGCCTAAATTAAGCTTATAATTGACTTGTTATTAGTTGTCATAAGCTTGTCATTGTTGTATCTCTCTCTGTCATCATTTTATCTGTCAGTTGCTCTCATCGTTAATTATCTTAATTTGTGATAACCATGAACAAATTAACCCTAAATCTATGAATTTAGGTCAATGAATTAATTAGGGCTTCCATTACATTTTATTATGATCTTGATTGTTGGGTATTGATTATCATTGCCGTTTTCATATGATTTCTTTTAGTTTCTTCTTGATTATTTGAATGCTTTAATTAGTGGTTAACACTTTGACGTCATGTCTTACATACTTATGACTTGCTACGTAATTTTACCACACGATAGATGAAAGAAAACATCGATAAGTTTGAATTCAATCAAAAGTTTTAACAAGTATCATAATAATTATGGTATAATTTTATTTTTGAATGTTTTATTTTGTTAGAATAAAGAGTTAAAATACACTGATTGCAGAAAAATTAATATGTAGCATGAAAGAAGTTAAATTGTGAAGTGAGAGAGAATGCATTCGATAGATGTAGAACTGATTTCTTGTTTTTGGTTATCTTATTATAAGAATGAAGAGTGGTGGAATATATTGCTTGTGAAAAATAAAAATATAATTTATAAATAACATATGTCAATTCTTTTCTTCTATGAATATTCCGAGGCCTAAAAAATGTAATAAAAGATAAATAATTAACTATTTACAAAAACAATTTTCAAAATGAAAATAACAAAATTACCAATCCAAGATATCTAGATCAACTTCAAAGTCCATATTTTGTGGGAAATGGAGGTAGTAATTCAAAATGAAAACATACCATTCCACGTTTTGTCTATCCAGTCTCATGGAGACGTTGGGGCATCTAATTAATGAAACACACCAGCAACTGATTTTGCCATAGATTTTTTTATATTCCTCTTTATATGGTTTCTCTAATCTCCGTCAGTTTGCTTCTAATTGCAAACAAAAGAGTAGATAGATATTGAGAAAGAGAAGCAAGAACCTCATAGTTATTGCTTCATATCTTTCTATAGATGCATAGAGAGAGAGAGGCGTACCGCCAACTATACTATCAATCCATAATTTCTGATCGAGATCAAGACAGGAGAAGAATAAAGAAGTTTATCATAGAGAGATGTAGAAGAAAAGAAATTGTAACCGTAGAAGATGAGAAATAAAAGTTTTGGATTAAATATAAAACCTAAAATAATTAAAAGGAAAAATTGAAGAAAAAGAAAGACATAAATACTGATATAAGGAGATGTCATATCAACATTGTATGTTTGTGCTTTATAAATTTATACAGATCATAAATAAATAAAACCCCTTAAAATTAAATATTAATTCTACATGAAATCCCAATTTTGCTTGAGTCTTGGATTCGTGAATATATATAAAAGACAATACATGTAACATAATTTAATAAAGATGGTGATTAAAAGTTCAAAAAGATCAGCATGCATGCATACATCATGATCATTCATGGATCATATATATCCAAAACCCTAATCGAATAATGATCAAACCGATCGACTCATCATCTTTCAATGGTAATTAATTAGAGTTGAGAAGTGATTTATGGAACCATGACCTCCAGCTGCCGGAGTTCTTCCTCGTTATCTCCACCTGCCGCCGAGCTTTCTTGCATAACATGAAGTTCCTCACTCCAAACGATCCAATCATCTCCCATGGATTCAGAGCTGCATCAAAATATGTAACCAACATTAATTACATATGTTCATCATGAATGTGTGTATATATATATATATATATATATATATATATGGTAGCGGCCGGAGAATGTACCTTCTGCTCCGGCGATCGGACTATAAAGAAAGAAGTCACTGAATTTGGTTCCGAGGACAGGAAGACGACCCTCACGAGCGTAGGATTTGAGAGCGGTCTCAATGACGGCAGCCACCACTTCCGTCTCGTCAACCACAAACCGGAGAGGTCCGGCGCTTCCCACGACGGTGATTGTAATCAGAATCCGTTTACCTCCGCCTCTCCTGCCCTGATCCTTCTTCTGCTTGAACAACATCTCTCAATTACTTACTACTCCTCCGATGGAACAACCAATAATAACGATGGTTTTGTAGGATGGTGTTCAGGGTCCGACGCCGAGACAGCGGTAGCACCAGACTTCCTCGGAAAGCGATACTACGATCTCCGGCGATGGGAGTGAAGAGAACATGAACAGCTGGTTGCTAAGGATTTCCACCATTAACAAATGGGATTTTGCGGGGAAGATTCGAGAGAGAAGATGAAGTAAAAAACAAAATCAAATTCAAATTCAAAATAAGAATCAGAATGAGATTCAGATATAGATATAGGAGAGGATTGTTCGTATTGATTGTTGCATGTTGTATGTGATATATAGAAGGAGATGAATCAAGTAGGGACGAAATCTGCCGACGCTTTCGGAACACGTTTCACACATTATACCTTCTATCACTGTTATCACCTCCACGTTGCATTCGCTCATATCCTTTTTATCTAACATTTGCTTTGACCTCTTTTTTTCTCCTCAAGAAAACTAATGAATGGAACATTTATATCACTTCTAGAGTCAATTACTCGTTCTTTTTATTGATTTCTCATAGAAAAATATTTTATGTTTTTTAGTATTTATACTATATTATAAAGTAGTTAACAAAAATTCTTAAAAACTATTTTTTATATATTAAGTATTGTTTATTAATGCATATTACTTAAAATTCAACATTACAAGTAAATTATGCATAAATATAATTATTAAAATTTTATGTTTGAATTTGTGTAACTAAATGCGGATAAACATAATCAAATATAACATAAACATCTCATTTTAAATATAAAAAATTTAAATATAAATAGGATAATCATTGATTTTTAACATAATACTTACTTATTATCTTTATAAAATGTTATATTATTAAACCAAAAATAAATTATTTTTAAACTTAAATTAAATTAAATTATAATAAAAATAAATTCAAGAAATTACATAAAAAATGAGAACTTTTAGATAGTTGATTTGATACTAACATTGATATATTTCTTAAAAATACATAAAATCGTATTATAACATCGACAAAAACAAAGAATAAAATAAAACATTAAAATCGAAATGTATCTCGCTGCATTGCGCGAAAACCCTTCTAGTATAAGATATATATATATATATATATGTATATTATAAAGCAATTAACAAAAACTTTTAAAAACCATTTTTATACGTAAAGTACTGTTTAATAATACATATTACTTAAAACTCAAGATTGCAATGAAATTGTGCGTAAGTACAACTTATTAAAGTTCCATATCTGAATTCGTGTAACTAACTGCAGATAAACATAATCAAATACATGATAAGCATTTCATTTTAAATATAAAAAATCTAAAATATAATTATAATAATCATTGAGTTCTAACAAAATATTTAATAATTATCTTTATAAAATGGTATATTATTAAACCAAAAATAAATTATTTTATTATTAAACTTAAATTAAATTATAATAAAAATAAAATAAAAAAATTACATAAAAAATGAGAATTTTTAGATATTTGATTTGATACTAATTAACATTAATATATTTCTTAAAAATACATAAAATCGTATTATAACATCAATAGAGACAAAGAATAAAATAAAATATTAAAATCGAGATGTATCTCGCTGCATTGCACGACTAGAAAGGTACTTGTGCAATGCATCGAGACACATCTCGCTTTCAGTGTTTCATTTTATTCTTTTTTAATATCGATATAATACGGATTTATGTGATTTTGAAAACGTGATAATGTTTTTATTTTTTTGAATAAAATATAAATTTAAAAATATCATAAAATTTTGAAAAAAAATATATCGATATCAGTATCAGATTAATCTGTTTAAAAATTCTTGTTTTTGGTGTAATTTTTTTAATTCAATTTTTTTATTATAATTTAATTTAGGTTTAATAATATTTTTTTATAAAAATAATAATTAAGTATTCGGTTAAAACCCAATAATTATCTATACTATATTATAAAGCATTTTTTATGCACGAAGTACTGTTTGTTGATGCATATTATTTAAAATTTAATAGTACAAGTAAATTGTGCATAAATACAACTTATTAAAGTTATATATTTGAATTTGTGTAACTAACTGCAGATAAACATAATTAAATATTGGATAAACATCTCATTTTAAATATAAACAATCTAAAATATAATTAGGATAATCATTGAATTCTAACAAAATACTTAGTTATTATCTTTATAAAAAAATATATTATNTTTATAAAAAAATATATTATTAAATCTAAATTAAATTTCTTCGTTACTAAACCTAAATTAAATTATAATAAAAAAGTTGAATTAAGGAAATTATACTAAAAACAAGAAAGTTTAAAAAGTTTAAATTGATACTGATATATATATATATATATATATGTGTGTGTGTGTGTGTGTGTGTGTGTGGAGATTCAAACGAGAACCCCTGTGATTTACGAGAATGCGAGAACAACCTAATAACCTCAAACTTTTTTAATTAATAAAATAACTTATATTAAATATAAATAAATTAATAAGGGCAGTAATGTAATTAAGTACTTTTTATAATTTTTATTTTATTTTAATTAGTCATAATTATCCMTTTTTTTCMTGCACGTTCGTTTCCACTCTCTTCTTTTCCCTTGTGATAATTGTGTGATTGTGTAACCATAACCTATTGAAACCATGATCAGTCAAGTGTAACCATAACCTATCGAAACCATGAGTAATCGTTGTGATAAATGTGTGATTGTCTAACCCTAACCGATCGAAACCATGATCAAATTGAGTGCGCAAGTAATGTTATAATAGTGATATCACATGATTATCGCACTCATATAACACCAAATCGTTTAGTGGATGTCGCCCGTAATCGTTGTGATAAATGTGTGATTGTCTAATCCTAACCTATCGAAACCATTAGTAATCGTTATGATAAATGTGTGATTGTCTAACCTTAACCGATCGAAACCATGATCAAATCGAGTGCGCTGTTATGATAGTGATATCACATGATTATCACACCCATATCACATCAAATCGGTAGTCGATTTTCTAAGTTAACACTAGCCGAGCGGAATCCTTGTGATAATGTGATTATCACACCAAATCGTGTTGATATAAGCGATAATGTGATAATCACATGATTATCACACCCATATCACATGATTATCACACCTATATCACACCCAAATCGTGTTGATATAAGCGATAATGTGATAATTGTGTGATAATCGTGTGATAATCACATGATTATTACACCCATATCACATGATCAACCATTTATTAGATAATGATAATCATGATCGTGTGTAATCGTGTTAAAAGATTTTATGATATCATTTCCATTATTACCCTTTTATTTTTAATATTTTTGAATCTTTTTAAATTTCAATTTTAATTTTAAAAATCTTTTAATTTTATTTTTTATCACAATATGAGGTTATTGGGTTGTTCTCGCATTCTCGTAAATCACAGGGGTTCTCGTTTGAACTCTTCCATATATATATATATATATATAGAGAGAGAGAGAGAGAGAGAGTTGGGTTCACGTGAGACCAAGAGCTTTTCGTGAGACCCGTAAGACCAATTTATATTCATTGATCAACTTTATAATCTAATAATCTAATGGTCTAAAGTTGCAAGGTGGCAATTTTGTAATTATTAAGAAGTCTTGTGGCGTTTATGAATGTTTAGATCTGACGATTGTAAACCTAATCCAATGGTTGAGAATTGGTCTTACGGGTCTCACGAAAAACCATTGGTCTCACATGATCCCAAGTCTCTCTCTCTCTCTCTCTCTCTCTCTCT